GCAATTACAAATTACGACATTATTCTACTGACTGAGACCTGGTTAACGGAAAATTTTCATGACGCTGAGTATTTAAACAATCAATATGCGGTCTTTCGCAATGACCGTAATTACGAAGAAATGAAGTGCACCATGGGAGGCGGAGTTTTAATCGCAGTCAAGACCGATTTGAATGCTGAAAAATTGGAATTTCAAAGTGATCTAAATGAAATATGGGTCAAACTTAAAATTAATAATACTTCATACATTATTGGTGTTGTCTACTTTCAACCGAAATCTGGTATTGATAAGTACGTGAGTTTTACCAAAAGTTTAGAAACAATTGAAAACATGTTGCATTCATCGGAAGTGTTAATAGCAGGCGATTTTAACCTACCACAAATTGTTGACGCCACGTATAATTTCGAAAACGCGAGTGCTAAATGCAAAGTAATTAAAAATATAGCTTCGATGTACAACTTAAAACTCATTAATACGGTTAAACTTAAAAACTGCAATAATAGAACCCTTGACCTAATTTTAACTAACTTAAACGCGGAAATTAAATCTGCTGTCGACTCACTGGATAAAATTAATCCACTTCATCCTGCACTAGAAATAGTCTACAAAGTCCATAGACCAGCTAAGCGAATTACTAAATTAACCAACTTCAATTTCAAAAAAGCAGATTTTCTTAAAATGTACGTCCTTCTTCGCGATATTAATTGGAAGGAGTCTCTTATCCTGAAGAATTTCAAATCGGTAGATGATGCAGTAGCTAGCTTTAATCAAACGGTAATGAACATTTTCGATGAATGTGTCCCCAAAGTTACAATTAGGAGTGCCAATAAGTATCCTAGCTGGTTTAATATAGACATTATTAAGAAAATCAAACAGAAAAATAAGTTTCGGTTACAGGGCCCATCGGAAGTCTTCATTGAAGCCAGAAAAGAACTCAAAAGAATGATCCACATTGCTCATAAGAGGTACATTAATCAAATTGAAATGGATCTGCGGAAGAATTCCAATAAATTCTGGAACTACATCAAGTCGTTGAGGAAGAATAGTCAACTACCTGGAGTTTTTGAGTACAAAGACACCTCGTTAACGGACGCCAGAAGCATTGCGGACGCCTTTGCATCCTTTTTCGAGTCAGTCTACACTATGGAGAGGAACGATGACCCGGAAGATGACGTGGAATCGGACCTGGTGCTATCCAAATTGCACTTGACTCAGTTACATGATTCCGAGATACTGGAAGCAATAAAAAAATTGAAACCGAGGTCGGCTATAGGCGAAGATGGAATCCCACCCTACATCGTGAAAGGATGTGCATCTTTATTGGAAACCCCCTTACAACATCTATTTAATTTAGCTTTGCAAACATGTACATTCCCTGAAGCTTGGAAATGCACCAGAATAACACCAATTCACAAAAGTGGAAGCCGAAAATTAGTTGAGAATTATCGCCCAATTGCAATTATACCAGCAATAGCGAAAATTTTCGAAAGAGTGATCTATACTAGACTTTATTCCCATCTCAGCAGTATAATTGCAGATCAGCAGCACGGTTTCACGCGGAACAGATCAACGATTACAAATTTAATGCAGTTTACGCATTTCTCAGCAGGAGCCTTGGATGAGAGAGCCCAGGTGGACTGTGTTGATACAGATTTTGCGAAGGCATTTGATACAGTATTCCATCAAGTCTTGCTCCGTAAACTTGTTTTAAATTGCGTAAGTAATCCGACCGTCAAATTCTTAAAATCATATTTATCTTTCCGTAAAACAAGAGTGAAATTCAATGGTGTGAATTCAGCCGAATTTTATCCCTCATCAGGCGTTCCCCAGGGAACACTTCTTGGTCCTTTTCTGTTTCTCTTATACATAAATGATTTACCGCGAGTGATAAAAAACTCGAAAGCACTACTATTTGCGGACGACCTAAAACTTTTTAATAAAGTCCAATCCCCAAGTGAGTATTTAAATATTCAAGAGGACATTAACTCAGTAATTAAGTGGTGTATCAAAAATAAACTAAAACTAAATATCAATAAGTGTAAAGTCCTTACTTTTACTAGATCGAAAAATCCCTTACTTTTTGACTATAAGATGAATGGAAAGGTATTACTACGAGTCACCTCCGTTAAGGACCTGGGCGTGTTTTTCAATACCAACCTTAACTTTAACTTACACATTGAATACCTAACAAATGAGTGTTACAAACTTCTTGGTTTCGTTATCAGGCATACACTCAATTTCATGAATATACAGACAATGCTAACCTTATATAATGCGTTTATTAGATCCAAGCTGGAGTATGCTGCATGTATCTGGTCTCCTCAAACTCTCAAATACTCAGACATGATCGAAAAAGTGCAGAAAAAGTTCATCCGAGTAATGTTTTTTAGGTCAACCCAAAATTATCCACATTTGATCTCTAACGGTACCCAGCTTAATTACTTAAATAGTACTTTCGGCTTAGATATAACGAGGTTAGAAACCCGACGGTACATTGCCTCCACAATTTTTGTCTTCAAAATTTTACACAACTTGTTATACTCTTCCGAATTACTTCAAGAAATTAGGTAAGCTTAAGGTACCATTTGTTAAGCTAAGGCAAAATAATACTATTTTTGTAGTTAACAACACAACTTCCCCACTTATTAAGATCTTGATCGCTTTAAATAAGTTATCCTCAGTTAATGATATCGACTTTTTTCACGATCCCCGAAATTCAATAATAAATAAAATTAGATCCTAGTCCTAATATTTGTTCAGAGCCCCAGTGCCATGTAATTGGAATTTTTATTCTGTATGGTTTCTGGTTAAATAAATAAATAAATAAATAAATAAATAAATAAAAAAGAGAACAAGAATCAGATTCATATGAAATAGTAATGGATGGATACTGGATAGCGATGACGTTGACATTTTTGCAAAAGAATATGAATGTTGTGACTAAAGGATGCATCCAACCTTCAAGTGGATGATTATAACGAGCGATCAAAAATATGTGGCGATCGAGTCGCCTTTGGCATTTTTGTTTACATGTTAAATCGTACTTAACTTGAATTTCCAAAGGCGACTCGACAGCAACTCATTTTTGATCGCTCGTGTAAAGTAAACAAAAATTCCAAAGGTGACTCGAAAGCATTTAATTTTTGATCGCATAGGTATAGGATTGCATGCGGAAAAAGAAATACCACCATTATTAAATATGGTTGTGAAGTACAGAAGATGCAAGGCAATGAGGTCGAAGAATGTCAATGAAGTTCATAAATAAAGACAAGAAAGCATTTATTTTTAAGGAAAATTATGTATCCTACATCAAAAGAAGCTACATTTTGAGAGTGCTACCTACACCAAATATTGTAGGGAGAAAGGCAAAAGTATGAATATAAAAAGTAGACATTTTTGAATCTTAAGTACTATCAGTTTTTCTATTTTTTACTTGTTGTTTGTCTTAAGTTTCATTTGGAAAAGAGGTGTCAATAACAAGTTATATTTGTTCTATAAACGAATAGAAGAATCGAGAATCAAAATTTTATCATAAGAAGATATAAGAGGTTCAAATAGGATAGTAAGTTCATAGATGATGACCCAAAGTGTGGAAACCCTCTGAAAGTACTAACTGATGAAAATCATTTACCATGTTCGCGAAAAAAAACTGAACTTAGTTAGACCAAGTTAGCCTGTCAGAGAGATACTTCACTTCATGATTATTATTGTTCCTTTGGTAATAATCTTATTAGGAAATTACATTACGATGGGTTTGAAACTTTAGCTTGAGATGATTTCTGAAAAAGACCTTCAGATTCCATTTTAAAGTTTTACCCTTTCCAAATTTAAGCACTTGATAATTGATCTAACAAATTTGCCACAATTTACGTCGTGTGTCTTTTGATAAGGACTTTCGATTAACCCATTTGGCTACGCGCTGAACCTGCAAACTGCAAAGAACAAATAGACCAATGGGAAGTAACACATACCTTTGTAACCTTTCTTCTTGGTATTGTGAGAGTTTGAGAATGTGTTGTCTCTTCTGAATTTCCAAAAAGACTAATAGAAAGCAAAGCTTGGTGTTGTAACACAATGATAGATGTGAATGATAACTGTCAAGTAATTTAGTACAGTGGAAGATCCAGAACCAATTGGCAATTCTTTTCAAACATTTTTGGCACAGTTAAATTGTTGCATTTGTATATAAATATAAAAAACAGACACACTTTTTCTACCTATATTTCGAAAACTGAATAATTCCCAGAATCCACTACAAAAACAACTTTCGCGCCAAAGCCTTAGTTACCTACTATTTACTAATTAGCAATGTTTGGTTTGGAACAGGTAGTTACATATAGGTAACAATAGTACGCCTGTCTGCCAAAATACATACCCATTTCATCAAAAAAACAATGACAGGGTGACAGTGAACACGAGCCATCATCAATGCTCGCTCTTGCCACTCGATAATTAAACGACTCCCTCTAACTCGTTAAGCTAATCTTTGCTTGCATCGCCATTTATGATCTCGAGCGTAGTAAAACCAGGAGCCCTTTAATCTTGTATCGTAATGCGTGCCAAACAAGTCAATCCCGTGATGTTTCAAATAATAACAAATTAATATCCTAATCGCTGCCAAGAAAAAGTTTCGAATTCCACTTTGGCGAGACTAAGGGCCATCCGAATTTTGGCTCTTATCAATATTTTTTTAAATAACCAAATTCGAACTTTCGACGTTATATTTTAAATATGATTTGTTGGTTATCACTTAATGTGAAGAGATGGAGTCCCTACAATCACCTAGTGCGAGAATCAGAAATAAAGTTACTGGGAGACATCTGGTTTCCGGATGCGATCTTACTTAACACTAGAATTCTTTTTAGAAAATAAAACGAAAATAGACTCGAGAACAATTTTTCGGCAAGATAAATATAGTTTGCTCGATTTTTTATCTACTTAATTCTCGAATTACTGCCAAGACAAAAAAACTCTGACGTTAAAAATATATTAGCGCCTAAGCGATTATACATATTAATAAAAAACGGGAAGCATTCGTGTAAACTCGTGTAGCTGGTCGGGGTTTATAATACAGCGCGGATTCGAAAACTTGGTCAGTGCAGTAGCTGATACTGTCTTCTAATAGTCCTCTTAGTAGTCACCAGAAAAAACAAATTAAAGGTAAGAATAATATCCACATTTCAAAATTGTTTTTGTGTTAATATTTCAAAACTTTAGTTTCATTTATCATTACTTTCTTTTTTTAAGCACCATGGTCCACGAACGATCCTTCATCATGGTCAAGCCTGATGGCGTACAAAGAGGACTGGTAGGCGAAATTATCAAACGGTTTGAACATAAAGGATTCAAGTTGGTCGCAATGAAATTCATGGTTGTACGTATACAATTAATCTTTTATTATCGCGTAAACAAATTGAACCATTTCAAGGGATCTGACGACCTTTTCAAACAACACTACGCAGCCTTATCCAGCCAAGCCTTCTTCCCAGGTCTGATCAAGTTCTCCAGCAGTGGACCAGTCGTCGCCATGGTTTGGGAGGGAGTGCATGCCGTCGCCATTGCCCGCGCCATGGTTGGCCAAACTGATCCCGCTGCCAGCGCAGCTGGATCCATCAGGGGAGACCTGTGCATTCACGTAGGACGCAACGTAATCCATGCGTCAGATTCCCTCGAATCTGCCAAGAAAGAAGTCAGCTTATGGTTCACCGATAAGGAAATCGTCAGCTGGGCGTCGGCTACTGAGAGCTATGTGCACGAAGGTTGAGAATCTCCTTGTTATTGTTAAAAAAAGCCGTTAAATATATTGCACTGTTTATGTTTATTTAAATATTGCAGTTTTCATTTCAACACGTAGTCTCCCTGAGCGCAGAACAAAATTGAATGAAACCGCTAAAAATACTCAGACATTTGGTAATGAGGTAGTGTGGAGTACAATAAAATGGTACGACCACAAAAGAAGCAATAGTACTTTTAGAAATTGTAAGCCAATACACGGATCTCAATAATTATAGGTATTTGTTATGAAAGCAGAAAAGACAGAACTGTGCTGTTGCGAGGGTATTGATAGCTGCTATTTACAACTATCAATTGTACTCAAAATTCTTTGGTGTTTCATTTCCACGCCTATTCATTTCAAAATCGGTCAATAACTTCTGTGTTGTGTACCTACTTTGACGACGTAATTGTGATTGGTCGAAAAAATTGGAAGATGTATTTAGAGGTTGCGCGGTGTCAGAGCTGTCACTTTTAATAAGATTTAAATCTTTTTTATGATTTAAATACTTTTTTCGATTTAAATCATTTGATCTTAAATCTTTTTACCGAAAATGATTTTTGATTTAAGATTTAAATCTTCATGAAAACTATCTTTGCTTTTGAACTTAAAATGTGATTTAAATCTTTTAAAAAGATTTAAATACTTTCGAAAAGATTTAAATCGTTTCCGAGTGATTTAAATCTTTTAGAGACGATTTAATTAATACATACTAACAAATCCTCTTGATTTGTTTCAACCTGACTAAGCTAATTACCCCGGGTTTTATTTCGGTAGACGTTTATATGTATTTATTACAAAATCGAGTATACTGAGATTGACGATGTCTTGGTTTTTTAAAATTTCTTTCGCAAAAAAATAGGTACATATTTTAATTTAATAAATAATAACAATAAAATACGGTAGAAATGGTAGGTATATTGATGAATGATGTTGAGGGTTTCGAGCAAGATCATCAGACCAATCAGTTTTATTGAATTTAAATCCTTTACAAACCTTTTGTCACAAAACGATTAAATCATCGGAAAAGATTTAAATCATTACATCATTACATGATTTAAATCTTTATACGTGATTTAAATTAACAAAATTAGATTTAAACCTTTTTGAATGAATTAAATACATTGAAAGTATCTTAAATACTTTCTAAAAAGATTTAAATCACAAAAAATATTTAAATCTCAAAATGATTTATTAACTAAATACTTTCTTATTGACAAAAGTATCTTTGATTTAAATCATTTGTTAAAATGAAATGCATCTTTGATCTTTGATTTAAATCGTTTTTTAAACGATTTGTGACAGCTCTGCGCGGTGTCAACTTAGTACAAAGAAGTGTCAACTTTTCCAAAAGGGATAGTGTTCAGAAATTTATGACAAATTTTGCAGATTTGAACATGCCCAAACTTTACTCTTTATATGGAAATCCCTTTTTTCTGTTCATCAATGGATCTTTCCAGACCTTCTCAATTGCCTTTCAGGGATTCTTTAGGCAATTCTAAAATTTTTAAGGAGCATTGTGAACACCTTCACAGATAGATGCACCAAAAGTGCCCAGATAGAGAATATTATTCCCGGGGAAGGCCCAAAACCCCATGGCAAGTGCGTATATGGGAGCTAAAGAGCTTTAGTCACTTTCTACTTCTACCCAGAAGTAAGCGAGCTTAGTATGTTGTAAAAAGATTCTAGAATATTCCGAAAAAGGGTCTATAAAACTACGGCAATGAAGAGAATTTAAAATGATCTGAGAACAGGAATGCTCTAGAATTTAAATTCTGTAAAGCGCTTATACTGGGCCGAAAAAATTTCAAAATGAACCCCCAAACGCATTTAAAAGATTTTCAAAGGCCTTCAGAGATCTTTTTAGAGTATTTCCAGAGCATAAAAATTCTGTATAATAACAAATGGTCCTTACAATTAGTCAAAGGGTAACGCACCAGAAAAATTAGAGATCTTGTACTTCCGATCTACATCCTCCGTGCCAATAACTTGATTTTACAAAATTGCCGGCATAGGAAATTTTCTAAACACAAAAAACGCCAACTTCGAACCGGGGCACCAAATCAATAATTGGAAGAAAGAAAAGTTATTCTTTGATTTAATGAGTTCTAACTGCCGTGTTCTGTTGTAACGACTTAGAATTAACACCCTGTATATCTCGATTTAAAACGATAGTAAGTATAATAAAATAAACAAAAAGTATACAATTGCTAAAATTTTCAGAAAATGTACCTACCCTTTTTTTTCATATTCATAAATTACATTAGCTGTAGTTAACCCACGTGAGGTTAATTTGACTGAATGGGCAATAAATCGTAGATGGAACATAAAAATAAAACGTGGTGGATATAAATAGCGATCACCAAGTGGTTTGAATCTCTATCCGTTGCGTAACATTCAGTTAGTTAAAGAAGTATAGGTACCTGCATATTTCAGTTCAGTTGGTGTTGGTGTTAATCGCATTTGCTGACCACTTCACAGAATTTTAAAAAGAGTTAACAATAGGAAATTATTAGGTACTTTATATTCCCCATTAATTGTGTTCTGTGCACTAAATTACCTTTTCCGTGTGCCCACCTACCAGATAAGGGTTGTCTGCACAAGTAGGGCTGGGAAATTACCCACAGCTTTCTTGACCGGACAGAAAAAATGTTCAGAATCGCACAAAATTTAATATAAAAAATGTGTGTACCATTTATTTATTACCGTGTATGTATAGAAGGCATTACCAAAATTTTTGACAGGTGCCCCTTTTTTATGCAGAAGACACAATTTTTAAAGTAATTAGATGGTCGATGTACCTTTGCTAATATAATGACTCATCGTTGTAGATTAAAAAGCGCTTTTTGATGAGTAATTTTCGCGTTTAACCTTCAAATAACGAACATCAACAAATAATAAAGAGTACTAATTGAAGTATCATGACCACAGGAGAGCTGGGCAGTATTCGATTTTGTAAATACTTTTTAGTATTCAAATCCTTTCAAATACTTTCACAAATATTTAGTATTCGAATACTTCGCAAAGTATTTGGATACCTCGTAAAGTAATCGCATAGAAAATTTTTTTCCGGGTCGATCTGAGACAATTTTTTTTCGAACCTCAAAAAAAGGCAGTGTATGACCTTCCTTTTTTACCAAAAATCGACTACACCAAAATTTCTCGGGAAAACACTTTTTCTTATTAATTTTGGTGCGTAGAATCCAAAACAATTCGTACTTTTAAGATCAAACTTTTCAATCAAAAGTTATAGACTAGAAACCAATTTCGAAAGAAAATTCAAAGGGCTGTAACTTTTGGACTAGTAGCCCAATCTTGGAACTGTTTGAAATTATGGATTCTACAGGCCACATTCTATAAGAAAATTTTTTTTCCTTGTCGATCTGAGACAATTTTTTTTCGGGCCTCAAAAAAAGGCAGTGTATAACCTTCCTTTTTTACCAAAAATCGACTGCACCAAAATTTCTCGGGAAAACACTTTTTCTTATTAATTTTGGTGCGTAGAATCCAAAACAATTCGTACTTTTTCGATCAGACTTCTCAATCAAAAGTTATAGACTAGAAACCAATTTCGAAAGAAAATTCAAAGGGCTGTAACTTTTGAACTAGTAGCCCAATCTTGGAACTGTTTGAAATTATGGATTCTACAGGCCACATTCTATAAGAAAATTTTTTTCCGGGTCGATCTGAGACAATTTTTTTTTCGGGCCTCAAAAAAAGGCAGTGTATAACCTTCCTTTTTTACCAAAAATCGACTACACCAAAATTTCTCGGGAAAACACTTTTTCTTATTAATTTTGGTGCGTAGAATCCAAAACAATTCGTACTTTTTCGATCAGACTTCTCAATCAAAAGAAACCAATTTCGAAAGAAAATTCAAAGGGCTGTAACTTTTGAACTAGTAGCCCAATCTTGGAACTGTTTGAAATTATGGATTCTACAGGCCACATTCTATAAGAAAATTTTTTTTCCGGGTCGATCTGAAAATTTTTTTTCCGGGTCGATCTGAGACATTTTTTTTTCGGGCCTCAAAAAAAGGCAGTGTGTATAACCTTCCTTTTTTACCAAAAAACGACTGCACCAAAATTTCTCGGGAAAACACTTTTTCTTATTAATTTTGGTGCGTAGAATCCAAAACAATTCGTACTTTTTCGATCAGACTTCTCAATCAAAAGTTATAGACTAGAAACCAATTTCGAAAGAAAATTCAAAGGGCTGTAACTTTTGAACTAGTAGCCCAATCTTGGAACTGTTTGAAATTATGGATTCTACAGGCCACATTCTATAAGAAAATTTTTTTTCCGGGTCGATCTGAGACAATTTTTTTTTCGGGGCTCAAAAAAAGGCAGTGTATAACCTTCCTTTTTTACCAAAAATCGACTACACCAAAATTTCTCGGGAAAACACTTTTTGGTGCGTAGAATCCAAAACAATTCGTACTTTTTCGATCAGACTTCTCAATCAAAAGTTATAGACTAGAAACCAATTTCGAAAAAAAATTCAAAGGGCTGTAACTTTTGAACTAGTAGCCCAATCTTGGAACTGTTTGAAATTATGGATTCTACAGGCCACATTCTATAAGAAAATTTTTTTTCCAGGTCGATCTGAGACAATTTTTTTTCGGGCCTCAAAAAAAGGCAGTGTATAACCTTCCTTTTTTACCAAAAATCGACTACACCAAAATTTCTCGGGAAAACACCTTTTCTTATTAATTTTGGTGCGTAGAATCCAAAACAATTCGTACTTTTTCGATCAGACTTCTCAATCAAAAGAAACCAATTTCGAAAGAAAATTCAAAGGGCTGTAACTTTTGAACTAGTAGCCCAATCTTGGAACTGTTTGAAATTATGGATTCTACTAGGCCACATTCTATAAGAAAATTTTTTTTTCCGGGTCGATCTGAGACAATTTTTTTTTCGAGCCTCAAAAAAAAGGCAGTGTATAACCTTCCTTTTTTACCAAAAATCGACTACACCAAAATTTCTCGGGAAAGCACTTTTTCTTATTAATTTTGGTGCGTAGAATCCACAACAATTCGTACTTTTTCGATCAGAGTTCTCAATCAAAAGGTATAGACTAGAAACCAATTTCGAAAGAAAATTCAAAGGGCTGTAACTTTTGGACTAGTAGCCCAATCTTGGAACTGTTTGAAATTATGGATTCTACAGGCCACATTCTATAAGAAAATTTTTTTCCGGGTCGATCTGAGACAATTTTTTTTCGGGGCTCAAAAAAAGGCAGTGTATAACCTTCCTTTTTTACCAAAAATCGACTGCACCAAAATTTCTCGGGAAAACACTTTTTCTTATTAATTTTGGTGCGTAGAATCCAAAACAATTCGTACTTTTTCGATCAGACTTCTCAATCAAAAGTTATAGACTAGAAACCAATTTCGAAAGAAAATTCAAAGGGCTGTAACTTTTGAACTAGTAGCCCAATCTTGGAACTGTTTGAAATTATGGATTCTACAGGCCACATTCTATAAGAAAAATTTTTCCGGGTCGATCTGAGACAATTTTTTTTTGAGCCTCAAAAAAAAGGCTGTTTCCTTTTTGGCCTCTTTTGTTACGAAAATCTTGCCTGTGACCTTTATTAGGACATCCTGTATGTACACACTATAGTCGAATATCGAGTTTTTATTGTGTTTTCCATATACGAGTACTTTTCGCGGACCTATTTTAATGAAAAACAAGTTTGGACGCATTGAGGGGCTGCATTTAGTCGGCTCCCCATATTTTCAATTTTATTTAGTTCTGAAAGCAATCTTTACAAATAATTTCGACAGTTAGGTAAGCCATCAAAGATAAATTTAAAAAGTAAGTTAGGTACCATCTGGTCCCGAAATTGCAGGGGCTAAGTATGATTCTAAAGTAGTGGTACAAAGTTAAATTAAGATAACGTAATTATTATTGCACTCATTACGGGCGCCCACGTAGATTTTTCGTTAAGAATGTTGAGTCATTATGTAATTTGTGTGCCAAATGATTCACAAACCTTTCTTTGTGAGTTTCTAAAATTCTGCATGCAAAATGTTCTGGATGGTACAATATAAACTACAGAAAACGATCTCAATTCTTGCCATATAACTAACTTATAAATCTAATGCTATACATTTTCCCATTTTTTGCTTACTAGACACACGAGCCACCACTGGTGATTTCTTCAAAAGGAAGATCCTCGATCCGGATCTGTTCTTTGTTGATTCAACAATGAAGAGTGCCACACACATTCGTTGTCCTTTTTTCTCTTATAGATCCATAATTTTCCGTTTCATAAAATCTCGTTGGGATAGTAACGTAATCGCATTAATTACCCGCCACATTGTACACAACCTACCAACCCTCTTCCCATTTGAGCTTAGGCAGCAGCCGGTGTATGATCTGTACTGTTTTGTCGTTTTTTTCCTTATTTTCAAGAGCAATGGCGGAAGCACGTGAGAGAACCTTCATCATGGTCAAGCCCGATGGCGTACAAAGAGGGCTCGTAGGAAAAATCATTAAACGCTTCGAACAAAAAGGATTCAAATTAGTCGCCATGAAATTCATGTGGGTAAGTAATCCCCCATCACCCGATTTTCCTAATCTAATTAAGTGCTTCCCTTCAAGGCTAGCGAAGAACACCTAAAACAGCACTACGCAGATTTAGCCGGCAAACCATTCTTCCCAGGTTTAGTGAAGTACATGAGCAGCGGACCGGTCGTCCCAATGGTCTGGGAGGGTTTAGGTGCTGTCAAGACAGGCCGCGTATTGCTAGGCCAAACCAACCCGGCTGATAGCGCACCAGGAACTTTGAGAGGCGACTTGTGCATTCAAGTTGGACGTAACATTATTCACGGCTCAGATGCTGTCGAATCTGCCAAGAAGGAAATTAACTTGTGGTTCAACGAGAAGGAAATTGTAAGCTGGACTTCGGCTAGTAACTGCTGGGTGTATGAGGATTGAATGTATTAGTATTTAATAAAAGTTCTATAAATTTTTAATACATTTATTTAAATATCGTTGCCCTGTCTGTTATTTGTTTGCCTATAGGGTTGTTAAGGTAAGGTGGTGTAAATTCTCTGTAGGCCAAGCACACTCGTCTTGTTGTGATGTCCTCTCGTAAAACCTGATGCTCCCAATCGTATCGTGGCGACCCGTATAGTACCAGTAATGATCTTCTAGGCATTGGAATTCTTACACAGTAATCCAAAGTGGAATTGTCTAAAATATACGGTTTCCCAGTTACAATGGAAGGATAAGTAGCGACACAATCCAAATTGTACTTTGCCGGTTTACTATTGGCAGTCATAGTAAGAATGGAGTCTGAAAGTAAATTAACTGTGACTATACGCTCGCCCCAAATCCAACAGTCGTCAATATGCGGGTCGATTGCTGCACCCCTCTCGGCATCGTATTCCAAAGAGCACTGCTCGATCGTCTGGAAATCTTTCAAAAGGTGAACATCCTTAAATTTGTCCTGCACAAATTGAGAAAACTTGGGAAAGCCATCGAAGTTTCCCAACTGTAGCTTTCTCTGCCTAAAATTACACTTTGGTCCGTAATTCTGCTTCCGTCTCCCGCTTTGCGAGAGGTCCCAAGGTACACTGTCAATCTCATGTAACAAGTCCTCCTCTTCTTCAGTGCTTAAGAAATTTTCTTGAATGTATACGCCAGGGTAGTTTATCGGCGTTCCATGATGGTCGGGGTGCACTTGCTCTTTGGGGGACCAGCCTGGCCATGCTAAGTTGCACCTGGGGCAGTAAACGTAACAGCCACTTGTGTTATCAAAGTTGAAGGCTTTGCTAGTGATCCCATACGTTTTTTCGCAAATAAGACACGTTCTACAACCTTTACAACCGCAAGGACGGGGTTTATCCATGACTTTAAAAAGTGAGGTTATCTACTGAATGACGTCATATTAACATTTTATTCCTCAAAGATCACTATTTTTTCGAAATTTACAACTTTTACGATATGAAAAGGGGCATAAGTTCAACAGACATTAAATTTAAATAACTTACATAAGATTTACGCCTGTAAGGCGGGCCGTTCGTGCTTGCCTTCCAAATTAACATTAGTCTGCGCGTATCCAGTGCCCCCCTAAAATTCAACAAATGACCACCCGTGGCAAACCTAAACCGCATTACCCGTTGCATTACAATGATATCCTTCTCACTCAGCTTTGATCCGGTTAACGGATGTATCCAGTCCTTTTTAATAATCCTTTCGAAACACTCGACAGTAACCACGTCACCCCTACAATTGTCCATTACAACCCTTAAGACACACTCAAGTAACTTACGTGGGTTTCAGCACGACGCATGGCACGGAATTGCTTAAAATATCATGCGTAACTGCACACATGTAACGATTTTCTTTCGTAATCAAACACTTCTTATCATCCGGATCGTTCACCTGCATAAATTTTACGTTAACCAAGTCTTTGGCCTTCAGAGGCTTGCCGGATATTGGACAGGGTATTGTCGGGTCAGGTTTCACCAACTTTAATTTTTCAGCGTTCGGCGTTTTGGAAGGAACCCAGAAACTGGGGAGGTGCTTGTCAAGACCATTGACCATATTTGAGACAGAGGAAGTACTTGGTTCATCTGATTGGGAATTATTAGTTTAGCCAGACACTTAAGGATGCACTTACCAGGTTTAAAGCCGTCAATCGGTTTACTGACAATGTTATTTTCGCCTTTAAGGAAGTTGTTTACTTTCTTGTTGTCTTCTTCCATGAATTTCGTTTGTATTTGTTCCTCTTCTTGCTTTTTCAATTTTTCGTATTGCCTTAATTTTCGACTATATTCAGTTTTCTTGGTAATGATGTATTGCAGAATGACCTCCTTGTCAAACAAGTACCCGTCTTTGCTGAAACCACATAGCCACATGATCGTGCTTTACTCCTGTGATACTTACGTGATAACGGGATTTGCACAAGGTTGTAAGGACAAGGAACAGCAATCGAAATCCTTCACGGAGTCTTTCCCAATACGTTGTGCATTCGTACCGTAACCAGAGGCCCTGGCATCCTTCTTCTTCTCGTGGTAAGTGTAAACAGCACCTGCAGTGCAATTTCTGGCGTGACGAGTCATTATTTTATGCTATTTAACACTTTATTCAGTCGAGATCTATTTGTTATGATTACACACGAAAAGTGAGGTTATGATATTTACTGCCACTGCACAGTGGCGTATCACAATTTTTTAGAGTGTAAACATTTCTGCAAAATGGCATTAGTAAATTTATCAAAATAGAGCGATGATACAGAATGGAGCTGTTTCCTTATTTATTAATTTTTCAAAAAGTTTAAATATTACAGTCTGTAAACTCTTGGAAAGTACAGAAGACTGGAAATTCTTTTAAACGCTTACAAAATTTTTCACTTTTTTCTAGAGATGATTTCATGGTTTTTTAAAACAATCTAAAAGTTTCCCCCATTTTCCGAGCTTATCAAAAGTTTCAAGTCGTCTACATTTGAAAATGACTTAGCTTATAACGCCCACCTTGAACCGATTCTAAAAAATTTTTAGAATGCTATGGAAAGCACCCTTTTTAGTGCTTTTTGGGAACCCTTTCACAGATTTCTAGGCGCTTTGCAGAAGTATATCTAGGTACTTGTAAAAAGCATCTGTAACAACCTTCAGGAAGGGCCGAAGATGATTTGTTGAAATTTGCAGGGAGCGTTCTGGAATAAGAGACTACAACTTTTATATTTGTTCAAAAAATGAAGCCCTGATGCTCTGTAGAGGCTTCTGGATGCTTATCAGAACTGAGAGGTTCCAGGTTTATATACAAGCTATGACGATGGACTCACTTTTTAAAGCTGGCAACCACGTAATTTTTAGAAGCGGAAAAGCTTTTTGCGCCATGTGGTGAGAACAAACACCACAAAAGCATCGCTGTGTGTTACCTCTCGAAGCCTATACATGCGACATATTTTGTTAATATTGTTATAATTTTATGTTATGCGTTCACATCATTACAAACAATTCATTTTGCGACACAATTTAATAGTTTCCCACAGCTTCAGACATGGTTTTCAAGCCTTTCTAGTTTCTATGCTTGCTTAGCATGCTGGACAGAAAGCTCTAGAAAGGACACAATTAATCGCTTAAGAAATCTAAACCTTTTTTAAGCACTTTCCCGAGCAAGAATACTAACACACGCTTTCTGAGCAATTCTTTCAGAGATGTTTAAAACCTTTCTGGAAGATTTGGAAAGGGCTGTAGCCTACAAGTTTTTAGGAAAGCTCTGAAAGGAATTTAAGGATGTGTAAAGAGCACCGAAAACGCCCCTAGAAACAAAAAGTATACCATCTATACTACACTACTTTATTTTCAAGAGAATTTTTCACAGCCTTCTTTATGCTTTTCAAGCCTTATTTTTACGTTCGCCCAGTAGAACTTAGAGGCAGTTCTAGAACGGGCATACGAAAGAATTCTGGAAATCTAAACCATTTCCAGGTAATTCAAAAGCCTTTCTCGGCCAAACAAATACCTTCCGGAACCTAAAAGAGACTTTCCAGTGCGCTTTTCCTGATTGACTGAGGTATTTCAATAGGTTCTTCAAGGTTGTATAAGTCGTGAGCTTTTTAGGGTCCTTAACAAAGCATTCTATTTCCGAGTATCCCGTCTTAGGTGTCCATGGGAGTAACTTAGGAAACTCTAGAAGCTGTCCAGACTCTACTACACGCATTCAATATCGTTTACACTTGACTACCTACTAAAAATAACCTAGAAAGAGACAGAAGCATCTGGAAAGAATCGTATGCCAAGTACATTTCTGCGCATGTGTCATAATAAACAGTTTCATTTCATGTTTCAAGCTTCCCAGATGCAATCACTTTCCTTCACTCACAAAGTCGCAAGTCGACGCCACTTGAGCGTGTAAGATTCCCATCTCATAAGACAACTTTGAACAGAAACGTTTGGCGTTTGTAATTTATTAACTTAATTAATTTCCCACACTTGAAGTAAGGGTTTATTGATGAGAACGAATACCACTTCAAAATATAAGCAAGTAAAAGTTACAAACAGTTGAAAGTAACGCTTACCTTGTTTGTACGTACCCACAGTAAAATTGTCACGAAAATGTGCAACAAATATATTTACATCAGTTGGTTAAATTGACCTCTATAATGCAAAGGACATCATCCAATAATAACATGTAAATAAATCCAAATACTTTATACGTTGTAAATAACAATGTCTCAAAAAATGATTTACAAATTATATTTAATAACATTTATTACATAACCCAATCCTTTATCCAGATTTTTGATGGTAAACGAATTACGAAAAAAAAATGTGATGCATTTAAATAACAATTAATTGTAAATAATCAAAACAACTATGTCGATTGTCCAATGGCATGTCATACAACCTAAATATTAATAAATATTAAGTAGCTATAAAATTTATAAAATAATAATAACAATTAAGTACAACAAAATTTAGTACATTTAATTGGCACCTTCGTTTTGGAATTACTTACATTTCTTTTTAAGTTTCTAATTTTTAGGACTGTGCAGATCCGTAACTTCCAGTTGGTGGTCGATATAGTTTTGGTAACGTTAATAGTTGTAAAGAGTTAAACGCGTACTTGCGTACGTTTGTATTTTTCTCAGTGTTTTCTCTTCTACACCCTTCACTAAAATTATAGTACGTATTAACCACCACAGCACACGCAAGCGCAACAGTATCATATCATCAAGAAGTGGAAGAAAAGTGCTGTGACACGATAAAATAAAGCAAAATAAATAAATAAATAAATAAAAAGATCATTGCTAATTAAAATGATGTGTATTGAATGTATACAGTACCTTCTCATGCAGTCTAAGGCTCTCTGAAATTCATGTTCTGCCAAATGGTATTCAGATGATAGAATATGACACTGTTCCAATGTTACAGCCATTCCTGTACGATCCTTCGCACTTTTACAACTAGTAAATCGTAAACCTACAAAAAGAGCGATTGGAAAAGAGCAAAATGCGCCAGCGCATCCCTACCCTTCATTTGTCTACATATTTGTGCAGCTAGATGTAGTATTTCTACATTTTTTGCTTTGTTACTATGTACAGAACTTTTCAGTTCATCCACTAAGTCTCCTACGGCTCGTTGCGGTGAACAAGCAGACAGACGTCCGCTGCTCAAACTTACGTCGGGTATATTTAATTTACGATATCTTAAGTAATATTCGTTAAGTCTTATATAATTATCAATATTTGATCTTTCTTGCGGTCTCGTTGCACCTAAACTCTCGGCGAGTGTCGCCTTTTCGTTAATTCCAATGTTAAAGAAGACTGGGGTTACGTGGAATGTAACGGACTGTTTACTAGGTAATAAGGTGTATAGTGCATCTGGAATGGGCAGGGATACCGTTAGGGAATTACGACTTCCAGTTATTTTTGGCATCGGATGAGGTTCATTGGAGGCGGGACTAGGACAACGGTTGAGCGTGAACATAACGGTTCGTAAATCTTCGACCGCCACCGACATGTCGCCCCACATGTCTATTTCCATCCCGTGAAAGCTTAGGAGGCATTCGAAGCACGCCAGTGGGCCTAGTGAGGTTAAACAGGTTATAAATGCAGGGTCCGGTTTGTGGCACCATAGTCGGGTCATCAAGCCGGTTACCAAGGATGTGAGCTGAAATTTTTGTATAAAATACGAGAATTGCGCAAATGTAAACGGGCAGTTAATGATACTATTTTCGGAATAATTATCGTTGAAGAAACAGTTCTTTGAGAGTTACTACTTGCCACTTGCTCACAAAATTTCTGCAGCATGTTTTATTATCATCTTTGAAGCAAAAGATCATCATAAGCGAAGTTCCGAGATTTCAACCAGTGATGCAACGGAAGTGTTAGACCGACGCAAAAGACAAAATAATTTTTTGCGGTAGCAGAAGCGGAAGTGTAAATACTAATAAAAACGCACAAATTGTTGCGACGAACCAATGAGATGAATGAAAGTAAACAAACAAATCAGTTGCGACACGTCTGACAAACCCCGCCCACGGCTGACTTCGCGCGCCGTCTCGTTCGGCCAATCAGAGCGTACAGCGCACCTTGCCGTATTTTAAAGGTTACAGTATACTTCCGTTATAAAAATACTGAAATCGGAGGTAAAAGTGGAAGTGGAAGCAGAGGTCTGTTGCATCACCAATTTTAAGAAATGACATTGTTGCCAAAGAGTCTCATTTGTAAATTATCCGCAGAAAATTTTGCGCGTGCGTAGCCATTATAGAAATAGTGTCATCATCTGCCAGTCTTATATAATTACCGCTTGCGAAAAGCAGACGTCTCTGCGATACTGAACGTTGCACACCCTCTGCGCCGCCTTGGGGTCTTGCTGCACACGAAATACGGAATGGGTAAGCCGCGCGGTTTTCAGTAGACCGTCCATGGCTTGTCGCAACTTTCTCATGCTGGGCCTCAGCTCGCCGACCCAATCGACAATCTTATTCAAATCTAAACCATCCGTAAACTTGTTTCCATTCTTTATCACCTTAGTTACAGTATTCACAGCCTGTGTCAAATTTTCGCCATCTTTGTTTACGTTGGTGCCCGGTTGATTCGTAATTACAGTTCGCTTGCTTCCCTTCGGATTTTGACGCAGCCGAACGGCGGGACTGCCGCATCGGCCGCAAAGAAACTTAACCTTACTCACTAGGCACATCACGCTTGCCTCAATGTTGAGTTGCGTCAAGTCCCACGGTTCCGGCTCGTCAGTGGGTTTGTAGTAGTTTGCCGAAGGCGAACTGCTCATGACGTTCGTATCTAAAAACGTACGCCCGACGTCCGGGTCTAACGACTTCGGTTCGCCATTCGTTAATTCGCTAAAACTCTCATTGTGGTTTTCCTCACATTCCGGAAAGATCACGAAATTCGCTTCGTCGGGCGTTTGCACCCTCGAGCACAAGCTTTTTACTCCCTCGCTAGTACTCAACAGGTTAATTTCGTTTCTTAAGTCGTCTGTTTTTTGGTACTCGTGTAGATTCCAGACATCGTCCACCGCTTTCGGCGTGCAAGGCGTCGCGAAATCGTCAATGTCTGGACTTTTGAGGTCGAGCGAAGTCAACTGCTGCGTTATGCGTTTGAAGGGCGAAAGCACCAAACTGTGTTTACCGCTTGTGTCCAGACTAAAATCATCTCCGACTCCAGAGTCATCCGTGACGGCCAGTTTATGCTCTTCAATAAAACTGAGCGCCTCCTCTACTAAACTGGGATCCCATAAGCTCAGTAATATCCGAGTCTTTTTGATCATGTCTTCGCAGATCGGTAACATTCCGATTGTCTGCTTCTCCTTCGCTAGCCTCATTAGAGTCTTCATTGCTTCGACCACCTCTTTTCGCAGCTGTTTGATTGCCTGTAGATTCTCATAGTTTCAATACATATGGAGAGATTTCACCCACTTTGCTAGCACCAAATTTAATTTTTATTATCGCCCGCCTGAGTGCGGGGTATTATGTCCAAAGTTTCAGAATAAATTATTGTCATTGTCAATTAATTATTTGTGTATTTATTCGAATCCCTTGTGCGACCCGAGTAGTTTTTTTGTCAGATTTTTCTATTTGTACACAAGATTTATTTTTCAATTTAGTCAATATTAGAATTTTTCTAGCAGATACCGGATGGGTACGAGGAGAGATTATAAAATTCTAAATTTCAATGTTTGACCTAGCTGAACAGGTTTTTGTGGGTGGGACCGCACGGCACGCCACTGCACAGAGCAATACATCTAGACACCAATTTCTGAATGCAAACCATACAAAATGTAATTTTTTTTAGAAGAAATGCGGTACAGCTAACCCTGTAACCCATTCAGACATTTGATTAATTAGAAAAGGAAATTTTAATTGATTGGTACCACTGTGTCCCTGCCAAATCACCACATGAAATATGCAAAAACTAATCATATTTAGTGCAAAAAAAATACATTCAATACTAGCAAAGTGCACTAAATTAATTTCTATTTGACAGTGACAAACACGAACACCCTGTATATTACCTGAATTGCATCGTTAGCCATTGAAATTTTGGTTGTAACTTGACAGTTTGTATTAGATCTAGTTGGAGATTCTTTTAAAGCTTGTACCAGCCTAAAATAGACTGATAAGTAAATGCGCAAACGCAGTACCGACTGACTTGATCAATCCGCCATTTTTCGACTTATGCGAATGGGCAGTGAACGCGCCCACCGTTATCCAATCGTAAAACCCCGACTTATTAAGCGTATCGTTGTGAACCCACATGCGCTGCAAGTGCAAATTGATCGGCGCGAATTCCAAACTGCGATCCGACCTTCGCGAGCTCGCCTTAAAATAACTACCCTTATGCGCTTGCAAGTTTTCCCTCGCCTGAGAATAAAGTCGGAGGAGATGTAGGTGTCGATCGAGCAGCTCGACTTGGCGAGAGTGCCATGGCTCTCTCAACTCGCCCATGCCGGCAACTTCTTGTAACAATTCCTTCTCCTGGTTAATCCAAATCCCGCTAAATAGATTAAATTGGATTATCTCTACGAGTAAGTTAACAGTGATACCTACACCAGTTGATGGGGGAACGAAAAGCACAGTCTACTCTCCAACATCACTTCGTGAACGCATATATCTCCTCCTAAGCCGGAATGAAACCGGTACGTTTGGAGAAACGGCGACGCGAAGAGTAATTTTAGTTCAGTTTGGTTGGGAAATCGCATTTTAACGCCCAGTCGTGGTGGAAGGGACTGCGACCTTCTATGCGACATTATCTGGCAAACAAATTCACCAATTAAAAAAAAGTGATGTGAATGTGATATCAAATCAAGTACCAAACGTGCCACAACAGTTTTGGATTAAAATCGATTTACCATACAGCCAGTCTCAGAAACTGTGTGGTAATGGTACGTTACAAAAACAACAATAATGTAGAAGAGGAGGGGGAAATCAGAAAAGCAGAACACATTATCGAGACAGAGGTGGCAGGGTCTAAGAAAAAAAAAATGTAAAAGAGAGATGAGTTAAATTATGTACCCACTATAGCTTATCTGGTACTTTTTGTTGCACCCACCTAGAAGAGTGATACATACCTGATGACTATTAGAAGGGGGTACCCGACAGGGCGTGTGTTCGGTACTATTTCCTCGATCCTCCGCTTCTAATGCCCAAGCGCTAATTGTAAGAAATCCCACAGTGCTTTGTGCTCTATTTAAAAGCGGTATGCGTAAACGTGATGAATCTTGTATGGCACTTAACAACACACAGGCTGTACCGATTGGTAAAGCGGTCTGTGAAACTCGTTCTCTTACGTCGAATGCGGTGAAACGGACACGCGAATCCCCCGAGAGACCATCAGAGGCGTGAAAACTTACAGTACTAAAAAAACTCGGATTGCTGCTTCGCTAAAAACATTGAAATGTTGCATTTTATATAAAAAAAATATTGGCGATCTTCTTAAGTATCAATTCTGCACAGGGAGTCATTAAGCGATGACTTGCGCTTGCATTTGTTATTTTAAATGATATGACCCTTTTTTAATTGACTTTTCAAATTCTACATCTTATTATAAAAATGTTAAGTGTCTAAAATTACCAGCTTTTGCGAAAAATAACAATTTTTTACAAGAAATAATAGTTTATGACATAATATTTTACTACGTGAAATAAAATCTTTCGTACACAAAATGGTACGCTCCTGCTTTTATAACTTCACTGAGAATTCAATTCAACGCACTTATGGTGTGTGAAGGGTCCAAAAAACCAAGTTAGAATCAATTTTCAATAGAAAAATTCATACACAAACGTGATCGTTGTTATCGCTAGACATACTTTCGTTCGCGTTCGCTATGAAGCGGTACATGTGTAAATTTTCCCATGCTGAACAAAATAACGGACTGGGCAGAGAAACCTGACACATTTTAATTTTTCCTAGCGCGGCAGGATCGAAAGAGAGGAGATAGTGGCTTCACGAGTAAAAAGTAGACAATTGAAGGTTTACAATTTTTTATTTACTGAAAATAATATCGTTCAAATGATGCCTGTTATAAGCGATACAATTACCCAGGCGTTTTTCAAAATTTTCAAAAACTTTGTTTAATAAAGCCGGCGTTATTTCGTAAATTTCTTCTTCAATATTACTCCGTAATTCGTCGAGTGTTCGAGGTTTAGTAACGTACTGCTTCAAATATCCCCACAGGAAGAAGTCGCATACGGATAAATCCCGCGAACTTGGCGCCCAGCAAATTCAGTTTGCGGTTACCAGATGTTTTTCGCAAAAAGTTCAACGTTGTTTTCGACATATGTCATGTGGCACTATCTTGTTGAAAAAAAGTGCGGCTTAGTTTCCGTCTATGCTTCAATTCCGGTATTACAAATATTTGCAGCATAGCCACATAGAGCTCCGAGTTGAAAATTTGCTTGAAAAAGTAAGGTCCGACTATCCCCCACTCGGTTCACCGTTCGTGGTAACCCTGGTGGCTTCTTTTTCATGGCCGAAATCGCCTCTCGAAAGTTTTGAATCCATAATTTCACCCTTACGCAATGGTACGATTACATTTAGCGCGAAACTCTTTAATAGTCTGTGCTATAAGAAAACGCTCAGAAATGAACGCGCGCTGTTGCGGTGACCACTTCTCCATTATGACACAGAACTACTAAATAAAAATAAACCTTCAACCGTCCATTTTACTTTCCCGGAAGCACAAACCTCTCCGTTTCGATACGGTCGCACTAGAGGTCGCTAAAATGTGTCAGGTTCCTCTGCCCAACCCTGTACAAATTCGTAAAAAATGGTTTACATTCTAAAGCGACCTCCCCATACAAGGGGGTGGGGTTGGTAGAGCAGCCTTGACTGAAACACCGCCCACTTAAAAATAAACGCCACCAATAAGTAAATAAAAACAAACAATACCATAAACTGAGGTAGGTATAGGAACACCTTATAGGATTTGACGGCCTTTAAAATGCTCCTTAAGAAGATCGCCCTTCCATTGGAAAAAAAGTGACTTACCTCAATAATTTCGGTTCGGGCATATTGGACCCATACTTTGGCAGAAGACATATAAATATCGATTAAAATGGTGGGATTAGGAGGTCGCCCGTGACCGTCACACAAAAGATTATCACAGGCTAAAGAAATTTCGCACAAAGGTAACTCGGATATATCTAAAACTGATAGATAGAGGCGCAGCTGACGACGCGTAGGTATCTTACCCAGCATGTGCTGTCGTTGTATTCTCCACATTTGAATGTCGGAAGTCGGACGGTGATTTCGTTTACGTTCGATACATTGTTGAAGCGCGTGTAATTCGGCGCGCACTCCCTCGTAACTGGCCGCTTTAATCGCTTGCATCCAACTGGAGCGGTCAAAATCAGAGGTCGCTGCCAACGCCTGGCATAAACCACCGTCAAATACTGAAACGTTGGATATTTAATACAGGGTAAACCCTAGCCTCAAAACAATTTTGTTCAAAATTCTGAGCTATCATGGAAAATGCCGATCGTTTTGTTTTTGGAATAGTTAACAGCGGATTTGTAGGAAAAAAGACACTGACCAATGGAAAATGTGGAGATTCTGAGATTTTTTCTCAAAAATTTGGACCCCAAGAGGCCATCGCAAAAACTCACCTAAATAAAACGGAAAAATATCAGTAGTCGTAGTTGTCGATATTGTAGGTGGATCCAGTCTAACTTGGCACTGCTCTAAAACGACCACTCCTACCGGTTCGGACCAGGGGTCTTTACTTTTGAAATAAAAAAGCAGATTCCCGCGTAAACGACACCAACGCTCTAAGCTTACTGAAAGTAATGAAAATTAATGCTGAAACAAGGTCAGACAACACGCAAGGTGCCTCAAATGTTAAGCAGCTAATTTCGTGCGTTGTCACGCCGTATGATTACGCAGACCACTGCAAAGTGAATTCCTCTACCCAGATGAAAAAGCGGTGTTAGTGTTACACATATTGTGCCGTTAGTAATTAGTAGCATAATCACTATGTTAGTGAGTTAATGGTGTTAGTGTAAGCGCCTGATCTATCTTGTAAGTTGGTTAATTATTACAAACATTAACGCACATTTATACAACGACCGTATCGAATGATTTATGTATGGTGGATACAAGATAGAGCAGGTACATTTCTTTTGTAATAAAAAAAAGTTTCTGTATCATTAAAGTACCTTTATTAGCGCCACCTACACAGTTCAAATTGTGAAGACTCTTTTGTTTGTCACCTTTTTTTCGTTTGCTATCCTTGCCTGTAATGCATTACCAATATAGAATATAATAATAAAATCCCAGACAGATAAGCTTAACCACAATGTAACGATGACCACGAGTAACGATAACCATAGTATCGAATGGACACTTGAACAGTTTCAAACAAGCGCATCCCTCATTTATAAAATGTTATAATCATAATTAAAGTTCTGAAGGCCCACCGTAAAGCCCACACCGCCCTCCATTATGTCACATTTACAAATTCGCAGGTATAGGGAATTTTATACGTGTAAGTACCGCTCGGAGTACCGCTTCATAAGGAAAGAGAACAGAACTTATATTCAAGAAAATAAAGCATGTTAAGATGCAATAAAAGTCTTGCTCCAAGCAGATAAGAGTTGATTCGTCACAGTGTTGCCACGATCTTACAAACCTCAAAAGTCGCGGCCCGTTTTGCGAAAAGCCAAGCACGTGGTGAATGCGGCATAATTATGTATTGGTTAAGAGAGCACGTTTTCTACGAGGAGGTCGTTTCCGTATTTGGTATTCGGCGAGGTACATGTAAGTGAAAATTTGGTGGGAGAGCGGCAGCTTCGAAGAGAATCTATGCCGGTCGTGTGCCACATTTTTTGGATCGCGTCGACTTCTTTGCGTGAACGAGGCGATCGGACGGCTGATATATTTTGTTGTTGTGAAATGTTATCAATTCAATACGTCAGCGAACATTTTTTCGGTGCATTATTGGATTAAGTTGTTCGTATTTAAATAAGTTGTTACCACGAAAGGGTTGGAGTAGAAGGTGCAAAACATTCCATTGCGCCAGATTTGTAGTGGCAAGTTACGCAAAAAACCAGTTCCGTAGTCAAAGTTGTGCATCTAATTCGTTTATACGAAGTGCTCATAACATTATTCAGAAAAACTGGTTACCGGTAAAATGGTTAAAGACAATTAATTTCTGTTTACTGTTAAAACCATAGATTCCAAAGGAAATTTTTGATATTTAAACTGCGGAACATCGGTAATTTATTACTATGAATAACTCAAAGTTCAACTAATTAAATCAAAGTAAGCCTAAAGCACGAGTTGTTCCTAAATTAAATTACATCAACCATTTTTCGAAATTAATTTTCAACAAATAATCCAATTCAACTGGTAATTGTAACTCCAGAACTTTATAGAGGGCTTCCAAACTCTTAAATACAATCGCAAAATTTTATAAATGAGGGACTAACTCCACATGTGAAAGGGGGAAAATTAGTATGGAAAAATTTGTACAATTCATTGACCCCAAACAAATTTTTCTAGTTTTGTTACCCCTACATTGTAGTTGTGTTATGTAAACTGAGATCGAGACTGAGATGACAATTTAACTCATGTATAAAAAATCGCACAAGCTGTACTTTGACAGCGGCAAAAGTTACCTGCAACTTTTACAGCGACAAATGCACTAGCGGTTTTTTCACTTATTCATTTTCTAAACAATTATCGCATTATCCATTCCCATATGAATAGTTTGACATTTGCCCATAATTGATTGGTTCGGTGAATTTCTTGTTCGTTAAATTGCCCTGATGAATTACATTCGAGGTTTCTATTTAAACTAACTAAATTTGTGTTATTAAAATTCAAATCTGTTTCCTTTAGCAATTTGACTCGATAAACTGTCAACCTAAAAATGTTTCACCTTCGGTGTCACAGTTTTTCTCGTTTATTTGCTAGGCAACCAATTTTCATTACCTAAACAACGCGAATTTACTCGATAAAATACAAACTTCTTGTGCAATTATAAATTAATATTTACTAATTTAAAAAAAGTTGTTTGACACAGATCAGCTGTTTATGTTGACAATTGAGTATTGCATGAGGTCAATAAATTATCATTTTGCACCCTTGCAATTTAAGTGCAACCCTATACACTCACTCCAAAGATTCATTTTAAAAGCACCAAAAACCACATACTTTAGATCACAAGAAATTATGATTCTCTCAGTGTTGTTTTCCCATCAGCTGACCACAAATAGAAAGCATCACACATTCATCCACAACTGAGCCTCAATTACTAATTTTACCCTTTAACATGAAACACCAGAGAAATCCAGTCCTCGCTTTTAAATTATTAAAATATATGCACACGACAACAAAAAGTACCGACTAAGATTCGGCCTTTCAAGAAATAAATCGACTACTTACTTTCGGTTTTACGAAAAAATCCCTCCTGCCTCTCGCGTACGTGCAACACACCCTCCTTTTCAAATTTACTCGAAGGCTGCGTAGCTAAAGTCACAAGCTCTTGCTTGTTGAACCTCATAGTCGTAAGAGAAGTCGATATTCATTCCATCTAAAAGAAACTGTGTAAATAATCATTCTCTTATCTACAAAGTAAACAAAACTAATCAGGTGAGCGATAAGCACTTTAATTAAGAAATAATGGTGCACTTACCCTGTTTCTTTTTTCTTTAATGACCTACTTTTGGCAGATCTCCATTGATTTGCCTAACCAGTTAAATTATAATACGAGCATAATTGTTTATTAATTAAAGGCATGTCTCATCTCTGCGAATATCAGGGATTCCCTCGAATAATAGATTGGAGTACAGGTCTACATTGACACGAAAAAATTGGGGCCAATTATTTAAACTTATCACTGTGACTGGGTTTTGTTGTATTATTATTTATATTTATTATGTAACGGCTACATTACTCATTCGATAATTTTAATTGGATTGCTGAAAAAATAATTAAAAAAAATTACAAAGTGGAGACACAAAGCACTTGGGACATTTGATATTTTCATGTTGGTAGTGTGCATAAAACTAAACAGGGCCGCACTTAGGCAATGTATCCATCCGTTGAATTCAGGTTTCTTGAGGATGGGGCGCTTTCAATTACAAATAATTTCAAAAAAATCCCTATTTTAAAATACGAATTTTTCTTATTTGGTATTTTAAATACTAGATTTTTTAATAAAAACTTACTTTTACATATTCTCAGTGCTGTGTATAGTTCTTATGGAACCTTAAATATTTTTGTTTCCTTGATTAATTTGTTTTAAATGGTCCATAAGCCACCCTTTAAGTACACATAACAGTACCTATATCTCTTCCCAGTTAACAAAATTATAAGCTTTTCTTTTTAAATAAAAACTCACTATTACACAGTAGTTGGAATCGAAACCGCAAAGGAACCGATACCAGAGCCGAAACCGATTGAATCTATACGCCCCTCACTTGGAACCCGTTTTAGATATCATGTATAATACACAGTCACACTAAAACTGACCACCATAATTAAAAACAAATTAATTACATAAATTTTCATTAATACCTTACATAATTCTTGGCACCGAATAGAAAAATCTGACATGAAAACTATATCTGTGACACACATTGGGTTCGATTAAACACACAGTTTAAATGACAAAGACAAAAATTTATTCTACAAAACATAAAAGAAAAATTGAACAATAACGCAACCTCGAATTACTACTATTTTCGAATACGAACAAACAGTTCGAAAGTACTCCTTCACTTCACGATGTAATAACTAAATGTAAGATCGGATTACTTCTTCTGCACACTTTATTTCGATACCGACAAATTACGTTTTCACCTAAACAGGCCGACAGCCCGAAAATTTCGCGTAAGAAAGTGTACCTACACGATCTCAAAGCTTCACGAAAAAAAACCGTTATCGTTGTCTCCAGTATTTAAGGAAACATCACTTCCACCATAAAACAAACGCCTTCCTCATGGATTTTCAAATCAACCACCAATCACAATTAGATTTGATAAACGCCAGCCATAACGGAATGCGCCAAACGTCTCCGTTCTCCAGATGAAACGCACAATTCTTCGTAACACCTGCATTCTCTTATCAGCGATAACACAGGTGTGTTAATTTAATTTTCGCCTGATAGAAACACTTCTTATAGTAAACGACCAGATGTAACCTACTTTTAACAACCTATCTGAATTGAACAATTACAAATCGACCAAATTTAAACAGGAATTATGCATTTACAAACATTTCTAAAGGAATAAACAACACTAGAGATACCAATTCAAGAAGTAAATCTACTTTGTGTTTATTCATAAACAACCCACCAGATTTGTACTTGTCTCCCAGTATTATTGCTGGTGTTAAGGCTAAATTGACGTCTGCGTGACGATGTTTTTTATTTGTTTATGTTGAAACCCTTAGTATTAAAAACCGGAACCGAAAAGAATTGAACTAGTACTGAAACCGGGTTTCAACCACCGCCTTTACATAACCATTCGTCTATTGTGAGTGCTGTAATTTTTGTGGACCTTGAAATATTATTCCTTCCTTGTTTAAAACGTACAAAAGCTGCCATGTTACGACGCTTATTATTCAAAAGAGTGACGTTTGCGACACGAGCGAGCTTGCGAGTGATCCGATTTAGTAAGAGTTATTTATGTTTCACATATGGCGATACGGTTGCCATTTCCGATGGGTGCATGGATTGCTCAATCTTGGAATTTTTGAATGAAAACCCATTTTCAGGCAAAGCTGAATCACCTTCATTTCTATACGTTTTCGTTACAATTACGGCCGTTCTATGATTGTATATTTATTATACAATGTACTCAATGGTTCTGAAGCTTTACATATCTTGCAACGCGCTTTTCAGAGCTTTATGGCACACTTACACAGGCCCAGGAGAACTTTTAGGCAACTAACAATATTATAACAACTCTTACGGAATAGAAGCGTTTTTAGCTTTTCAGTCCTTCCTGGAATCTTTTTGAACAATTCAGAGGCTTTGAAAGGCATCAAAGTCGGATGCGTCCCATGAACCTTTATTATCCTAGACATTTCCGACTGCTTTATATCTCTTCTTCAAAGCCCGTTAGCGCCCTCCCAAAGTTGTTTAGATCTTCCCCAGATAATTTAGAGTACCAGCTTTCACGTGTCCTCTAGCGTTTAGGTCTTAGGGCTTTCTATTCACGCCAGAGAGCTGTAGATCCCTTCAAATCCTTCACGTAATCTGGATTCTCTGGAAATGGAAATATCCTAAAAAATTCTGGATTTTCGAAAACCTATTACACGCGATCATAGTGCATTTTAGAGTACTTGAAGCACTTTCAGAGCATTATAGCTGGCGTTCTGAACTCTACTTTTTATTGCGTGTATTTTTCTTCCAATTTTGGTTTTTCGTCATTGTTATCTTGCTCTTGCACCATGACACAAGGGCCCCCATTTCTTAGTAACTTGGAGTGTCTCCACTCCTGTCACTGACGTTTTCAGTAAGTAGGCAACCTTTATGTAATTACCTACTACTCGATATAAAAAATAAATTATCGGTATTCCACGAGTCCATTTTTCTTGTCTTATACTTTACCAACCAGAAGTAGATATTCTATGTTGGAGAAGCCTAAAAGAAAAGTCTTGAGAGAAAATTCTCTCTACTTAATATGTCTTTTCCGCGAATGCATAGAAGACGCATAAGAAATCATGTTGACCACAGTTGGTTTAATTACACCTGGTCGCCGGCTTTGAAAGTAAATAGTGTGTAGTCTAATTAAATCTCCACTCATTCCGAATATAATAACTTTTAAATTTGTACCTACGTGCAGGCGAAAAAGTGAATCTGTGCGGAATAATGACGCACAGCCTCGGCATCGGAAGAGGGGTTACCTGCATTTGACATAAAATCCTTAGATATTGTACGAATTGTCATATGGAACATTAAACATCTATTAAATTTGTTAGGTATGGATTGAATATATTTACAATTCAGAATCGGACAAATTGATCACATGACAAATTCACCCTATTGGTAGTGTGCAGACTAGGTATAGGTACCTATATTGCATAACAGTATAAAGTATCTATACATTTTCGCCTTCTACATACACTCTAACTAAACGAAATTTTAGTTAATTACAGAATGGAAAAACACGCTTTGAAAATTTTTTCTGAATCTCACGACGATAAGATGATACCTAGTTTAAGATTACGAATCAGAGCACGTGGCCTATGAAAACGTTCCATTTCGCGTGTCTACGATTTCCAATTATTACTATTTTTAACGACTGTAAAAGGCATTTGAGGGAGCTATTGAGGGAACTCATGAATATCATTCGCGCAAATGGCAGAAACGTAGGTATTTTGTACTCAAAACGAACTAACAAATTATCCAGGAGAGCTAGAAATAATAACGAAGAAATAGTAAATGAAGAAAAATTCCTCTAAAACGAAACAAAAAAATAACATTAGAAGATCGTATCAATATTTGGCAGAACACAGTCAAACTCATTATAAAGTGTTTTTCTTTTCTGATGAAAACTATTCAACCAATTTCCGAGTAAAACTATACGCTTTGTTTTGCTTTCTTTCTTAAAAAAAATCGTTTTAACTTTGTCGCAGTAATCGTTTCTTGGTTGTATTTTTTCTTCTGTACGTCAAAATCTACTAAAAAGTGCTTTTTTGTTACACAAAATTCCTGTTTACTTAATATTGTTGTGTACAATGGCAAATGGTCACTAAGCCTCCCACAAAACACCTGTCCAGGTAGTTGAAGTTACTAAAGTCACTCACAAAAAGAACATGAAACACTTAACTACAATTCAGGATCGTAATTCAGGCTCAAGTTGATAAAAAAATTGTTCATTTACCTACACACAACACAAATTTATTCGACAATTGATGTAAGAAAGAAATTAGCACTCAGGTTCAGAGACAAATACCACGCTACAAGCGCTTCATCGAAACAGGTTCATAAAGTCTTAATTACCTCGCAATGTCAATACACTTCTTCACACTACACTCTTTTATAGAATTTTAAGACAGACTTAGGTATGTGTGAAAAAAGGAACTTCCAGATACGGTTGATTACTTCCAATACTAGTGGTTTTTATCCTGTCTGGGATTTGCGTAAAGTAGTTGTCCTTGAAAATACCAGATAATTTAATTAATGCTAATGTTACGCTGGGCAGTTGCTATTGTTAGTAGTGTTATGAGCTTCTTTGACAGCACCTCAAGTTTCAATTCTTCGTTTCTACGTAAGGAAGCTAAATGTTGCGGAACGTCTTGTGGATCCCAAGTAGCATAATACTTGGAAAAAGATGGTCGCAAAGTGTTCATCCCTAATCTGCGAATATTATTTCTTTTTGGATTCTACAGAACCAAAATCTATTAGATGTTATTTCACCCTGTGATCTGCAGCAACGTTTCCTGGACCGATTTGGAAAATACTTTCTCCGGTCTATATGTGCTCTTTTTCACTGTTGTTGTTTTAACAATAAACAGTACGAAAATTTGTAGATTTACATTTCGTCTCTGACCACACAATAGTAATCGGAAATGGAATGCAGAATTAAGAGCACGAGGGACTGAAGGTACCCGTAGTTCTATACACTTGACCATGGTAATAGGGGGTGATTACGAAAAAATTTAGTTATGAAGTATGAATAAATAATTCTTAATTGCGTCGAAACATTTAGATAATAGGTGCCTGAGTGGTTCAAATAATTTCTTTTCTAACCACGTAGTTGTTCCTATAACCCCTAGCAACCCTTCGTTATACGTCCTGTTAATGATGATGCGTCCACGAAACATGTGATCGCGAGTCTCATATTGCATCTAAAAACTATTAAGGAAAGACGAATAAGGCCCGAGGCGTCGTCGTCGGACATCAGGTGCGATTCTCGTATTACAGCAATCTAAAGTTCAACGTAATTTTCAATATACTTGACGTGTATAATATTGCGAATAGGAAATAAAAAGGTAGGTATTGTAACAATAGTTTTGTCGAGGTTTTCCCGCG